TATTATATGAACTTATTGTGTAAGAATTGAGTAGATATTTAAATATGTATCACTTATATTTATATAGACGTAAATACTTGTATGTGTATAGAAAATGCCTTGAAGGATAATACCAAAGCTCTCATCAGAGTTACCTATGGGAAATAGAATTGGGAGGCGAGGAATAGGAAAGGACTTCCCTGTGTGTACTATGCGCATGTATTACTTGTAAGATACTGCATTTATCAATGATTTTAGAGATTTTTTTTTTTAATGAAATGGAAAAATGTTTAGATTGTACTGTTGAAGGGAAAAACTAGAATTCGGAACTGTATGCAAGATGATAAAAAAATGCTGAAAACATCAAATGTGCCTTTTCTGGAGTATGTATGTGTGTATGAAGAGACTTCTCTTTTTTTGGTACCAGGGATTGAACTCAGGCACACTTAACCACTGAGCCACATCCTCAGCCCCCGCCCCCCCCCCCTTTTTGTATTTTATTTAGACACAAGGTTTCACTGAGTTGCTTAGTGCATCGCTGTTTGCTTAGCGCATCGCTGTTGCTGAGGTTGGCTTTGAACTTGAGGCCCTTCTGCCTCAGCTTCCTGGGCTGCTGGGATTACAGGCATGAACCACTGTGCCTGTGTCTTTCTTAAACTTTTTAAAGTTTTTTAAAAAAATTTATTCCTTTTAGATACATGTGACATTAGAGTATATTTGGACATATTTTTAGAAACATGGAGTATATCTTATTCTATTTGAAATTCCAGTTTTGTGGTGGATAGACTTTTTTTTTTTTTTTTTTTTGGTAAAACATTTTGAAAGGTATTACATAAAAATGAAGTTAATGGCTTATTTTTATGTTTTCATATTTTCACAAAAAACCTTTATAACCACATAAAATAATTAAAAAGTCAGTTCTTTCATTTATTGCATGCCTCCTGGGTTCGCACTTGGCTTGCTCTTGCTTCTTTGGACATCTTCAGACATCTCCTAGCTTATGGAGTAGAACGTTTCAAACTCATGGGTTTGGTGTCTGTATTTGTCTCTGAAATGTGTTGAGATTGTTGTGGATCCCATCATGTTATTTGATCCCTGTGTCATCTTTTATTTTTTTCTGTTTACATGTCATTTTCTTTTCGTTTTTTTTTCCCCCTCTTTGCTGGCTTGCTTGCTTTATTTATTTAATTATTTATTTGATCTTGGGGGCTTAACCCAAGGTTGTTGACCATTGACCTATATTCCCAGCCCTGTTTTTCACTTTTTATTTAAATGAGACAGGGTTTCATTAAGTTGCAGAGGCTGGCCTGGAAGTTGAGATTCTCCTGCCTCAGACTTCCAAGGTACTGGGATTACAGGTGTGCACCACTGCACCTGGCTGCTTTGATTTTTAATGTTTTCATTTCACTTTATTTTCTATTACCACATCTTTGTCCTTGGTCTGTCATTTGAAACTATGACTCTTTTTTACTTTTATGTCTTCTAAATCACTCATTGTTCTTTCTGTATGTTCAGCCAGTTCATAGAACTATCTAGACATACTATGCCAGTCATTCCTGTTTCATGGTTCACTTAAACATTTACTAAACGCATAGTATCAAATGACAGATATTTCTCATCTCACTGTGACTTAACAAACTTTCATGTGCACTTGCTCTTTGATAGGTATTGTGCCAACTGTCTGGTTGTAGAGGTTATAACTAGAGTTATAGCTTACAGTTCAGCTCACCTGTGTCAGTCTTTGGTTTGATATTAAGATCAGCCAGATGAGTTGCAACTATAAATTTTGGACATAGTTGGACCATTGATTTCTAAGCAAAGGAATAGAAATATGTTCTAATTAAAAAGAAAATATTCAGTAAGCCTAGTACTTCTCCCCCTTCTTTAAAAACAAACAAACAAACAAGAATAGTTTTCATGGATTTAATTCTGAGATCAAACACATTTAGAAGCAGATCCTAATTAGCTGGGATGGTTGATTAATGACCAGAAATTTCTTTGGGTTATGGGGGCAGTAGTTGTTGTTTATTTTTGGTTTGGCTTCATTTGTTTTATAGTTTTCCTGTCCTCCACCATGTTGTTATCGAATTGCAAAACACATGCAATCCCAGTATACAATTGGTGATTTTGTAAGACTCTCTTATGCTAGGAGGGATTTAGTGTATATCAGCTATTGTTTTCAATTCAGTCATGAATGATTCTGAATGGATTTAAAATAAAAAAGTTGTTATATGTGTTTAAAAAGAAAAATATCAATATCTCTCTCAGAATAAAGTGGTTCATATTAATTACAAACTTCAAAAAAATTATTTTTTATCTCAGTTTTTATTTTCTAAAATACATTGAGGTATTCAAAACCCTTTGAAGTAATTAACAATTTTTCACCTTTATCTCTGATATGGTGAGAAGAGGTCTTCTTTTCTCTTCTTAAACGAAAACTAAGGTCCATACACATTAAATGTGATATTCCATAATAACACCTACCTGTCTGCCAAACTTCATGTCTGTAGTTACTAAATGAGTGGGTGTATCCTTTTTTTTCTCTGGAACTTTTGAAAGCAAGTCCTTCTATAAAAGAACAAGAAAAAAACCAAAAATCATTTCCAGAGTTACTTGCCTTTGGGTTAGTGTTCACAAAGGAGAAAATTGAGGCCTAAGGGAAATTTTTAGAGAGAGAAAGAGATGAGTCTATGAAAATAGTTCTGCGGTAAATTGACTTTCTACAAGTTTATTGATGGAGTTTGAGAGCCCTCTGGCTCTGATTATAAAGTTGGGAGGTTATGTTTTTCAGAGTTGAAATGCAAGCCATTTATCACCCTATATTTAACTGAAATATATTTTTAGCTTAAAACTGAGAAAATAATGTAGGTTTTAATTTAAGATGAATCCTGTGCTCTGTGTTCTTAGAAGTATGTACTGTTACAGATTCTCATGTGTATATACATGTCAGTATGCACATACGTATGTACTAACTATACTTATTTATTATTAGATTTGGCAGGTAGTATTATAGCTATACATCTACCTGGATTTTCCAGCTAATTGATATCTTTATCCTCCTTTAAAAATCACTTGGTTATTTAAATATTTATGAAATACATAATTTTCCTGTCATTGTAAATTTGAAATTGACTTTTTATTAATCACTCAGTAGCATTATTATAAACCTCAGTAGACTCTTGAGTCCATGGGCTAGGGTGCTAGGAAAATATGGACAGCTAGTTTTCTAATTATGAGAAAAAGACAGATAAAAAGTGATAAGGTAGATAAAAATAAAACAATGAGAATGCAAAAGTAATCATAAAAGATGGAAGAAGGATAAACCTCTGATCTGATTTTATAAATACATAAACTTTTATTACAAAATATTGTGTTTTTTGAAGACTTGGAGTTTTTAAAGATCGTTGAGGCAGTTAGGAGCTTATGGTTTTGTGTTGGTGGAAAAGTCATCGGAACTATCCTGGTTCAATTCCTCCTAATATAGCTTTTATATCTTATACTTTCAACTTCACATTAGCCTGTGAGTGAACTATTAGAATTTTGCAGTTTGGTGTAGCTCATATCCTAGTCACGCTTGCATCTTCATCACAGAGCACAGTGGTGAACACTATCAGATGCTCAGTAATTGTTTGGGTAATGATTTCCCTTCTTTTCTGGGTAAGTGAAAAGGGAAAAGTTAATGACTGTCATAGTCATCCTCAAGGCTTAGAACAATGGTTCATACATTATGAAGACTCAATGAAAACAGTGATACCTTAACTGATAATTTTACTCTTTAACAAAGCTTATTTTTCAAATTTTTCTGAAGGAATCGTTTTTTTAAAGTAAGCTCAAAATGCACACATGCCTGGGTATAGCGTGTAGCACAATAGTAAAGTGCTTGCCTAGCGTGGGTTCCATCCCCAGAACCACTAAATGAATGAATGAATGAATGAATAACCAAAATACTCACACAACTAGCACCTTGGTTCCAAAAGAGTGTGGAAGGAGATGGGGACACATGACCATGGGGTGGTTGCAGGTGTCATTCACAATTGCTCACATCTCTCAATCCATCCTTCTTGGAGATACCCTTCTGATGGAGATGAGATGGTCTTTTCCTTTTTCCCCCTGTGCCTATTGTCCTTTTATGACCTACTTTGACAATCAATCCAAGGGTAGCCATTACTACTGATGGTGTGTTTTTGGAATGGGAAAGAAGTGAGAACTATGACTTTGACTCTATACCCTTGGAACTGATGTTAGAGCAGCTCTTCTGTGGTACTGTTGTGTGGCTAGATCATTTAGTTTCTTGAGGGCAGGGCCCAGGTTTCATTTGCATTAGCATTGCCTACTTTCTTATAGGTAACAGGTGCTCATAAATTTAACAACATAGCTTGAAAATTGAAGTGTTCTTTATGATCTTTGTATCATTTAAGATCAGGGTTTTTTTTTTTTTTTAAGACACTGTAGTTTATTATTAACAGGAGGGACTAGGCTTTAAAAGAAGATTTTTTAAAAAAGCTAATCAAATACTAAATCAGCCTGTTTGAGATTCTTTAAATCAGCTTTATTTTAGTGATTCCCAACTTGTTGAAATTTATGGCCTCTTTTAAAGAAAACTAAGAGTAGTTAACTTCTGAAAAAATATGTAAAAATCTGATTTGAATAATACAAATTTAAATGAAGTTTCTGTGCTAGTAAACCTTCATTTAGATATCATGTCATGATGTCATTTGAACTTTTCTTTTTAAGGTATTCTTTAATATAAAGGAGAATACTGCAATAGCTTGGCACAATTTCATTATAAGGTGGTCATCCAGATGGTCCAAATATCATTTAAATACTTTGAGTCTTTAGACTACATTTTTATGCTCCTGGCTGTGTCAGTCACCTCTTTATTGGAAATATGCTTGTGAGATGTTTGAAATCACAGTGTGAAGAGGGCTTGTAACAAAAAGGAAAGTGATAAGGGCCAGGCTCCTAGTAGGACTTAAGTTGGTTTTAGCAAAAATGGTAACTACTGTTCATTTTCCCCAAAGCTCCCACGTGAAAGATGCTTCTCCTGGTCCTCTGATCGATGTTACAAACCTCCCTACTCCACGCAAATTCCTTGATGCTACTCAATACTCTACTCCTGGAAGCTCAAGTGGTAAGTTTTCATTCTTCAGCCACAAAATGTTTTAGTATGCCTACTGAGTATCTGTGGGGGTCTGAGGTAAGTGCTTTGGTACCTATAATGAGCCCTTTGTGACCCTCACAGGAAATAAGACAGAAAACCATCATTTATTGATTTCTCTATGTTCATCCTTGGGATGAAGCACACTTGATCATGATGCACTATCTTTTTTTTTTTTTAAATTGATTTTATTGGTTTTTAAAATACACGATGACAGTGGAATGCATTACAATCCTTATTACACATATAGAGCACAATTTTCGCATCTCTATATATAAAGTATGTTCACGTCAATTTATGCCGTTATAAATGTTCTTTTTTTGCATTGCAATTCTTAATACACATATATACCACAATTTTTCATATCTCTGTTTGTATATAAGATATGTTAACACCAATTCAAGTCTTCATACATGTACTTTGTATAATGATGACCATCATATTTCCACCATCCTTGCTAATTCCCTTTCCCCTCTGTTTCACCCCTCTTTCCTATTTAGAATTAATCTAATCCTCCCTGCTCTCCCTCCATATCCCACTATGAGTCACCACCCCCTTCATATCAGAGAAAACATTTGGCAGCACTATCTTTTTAATGTGTATTTTTTTAAAAAAAGTTTTGTAGTTGTAAATTGATTATTTTTATGTGTTCTGAGGATCGAACCCAATGCCTCTCATGTGCTAGACAAGTGCTGTACCACTGAGCCACAGCCCCAGCCCCTTAATGTGTTTTTTTTTTGTTTTTGTATGAGATTTGCCACTATGTTTTTAAGAGTTTTTGTATTCTATGTTTATCAAGGATATTGGTCTGAATTTTTCTTTCCTTGAGGTATCTTTGTCTGGTTTTGGTATCAGGGTGAAACTAGCTTTTTAGAATGAATTTGGAAGTATTTCTTCCTTTTCTATTTCATGGAGTAATTTAAGGAGGAATGGTGTTAGTTCTTCTTTAAAGAACTGGTAGAACTTGGCTAAGAATCCATCCAGCCCTGGGTTTTTCTTTGTTGGTAGGCTTTTGAGGGCATCTTCAGTTCATTACTTGAAATTAATCTGTTTAAATTTTCTATATTCTCCTGGTTCAATTTGGGTAGGTTGTATGTCTCTAGGAATTTGTTGATGTCTTAAAGATTTTCTAGTATATTAGAGTTTAAATTTCCAAATTAGTGTCTGATTATCCTTTGTATTTCTTTGGGGTTGGAGGTCTCTCTTTGGTTCTGGTTATAAATATTTAGTTGGATTTTCTGTAGTGGCTCAAACTTGCCCCTTCAGCAAAGGGCTAGGCTAAGCTAGAATCAGAGTTTTTTGGGCCTCTACAAAGAGTTTATCTGCTATTGCAGTTTTGGATTGTGGAAGAGAGATTTGGTGTGTTGTGTGATGCTTTGCAAGTGCCTTCGTTTGGCACCTAGAGTCCTCCATGTCTTTTTAAAAATAGTAATGTCTGTTACTGGCTTTTCAGATAAAAATTAGTTGTAATAGTTCTTATTAGATCCATAGTTCTGTAGAGCTTGAAATAATGTAAAACTAGAAAAGAGAAAAAATAATTTGTAATCGACCAATACATTTTGTGTAGCTAATTGAAAGTATTTCTTTTGAGAGCTTAACAATATTTTATTCCTGTGGCATATTTCATTGTCCTTTAAAATACCATTTAATTAAATCATTTTAGGGTTATTTAGGCTTGGAATTTTGAAGTTTATTACTTTTACTGTAGAAAAGTATAGGAATTATTTTATAATAGATTTTTCTTCTGCCAGTTGTCTTACGATTTTTAAATATCCCAAACACTGATTTTTATTATAATGCTTTAAAAGAGAACACAAATCTTTTCGTTGAGTTAGGAATGTCTTATTTATTTTTTTCCTCCTTTTGATGTACTGTTATTTTTTACTGAATTTTTGATTCTCTCCTGAGCTGTTACTGAGTGTAGAATTATGAAATAAAGATACATTTATACTTTTGTGTTTCACCTCTACCTTTTGTGGAAATTACCAATTGTTATATCTTGGCATTTTTAAAATGTGAATCTCACTGTCTAGTCTGATTTTATTACTGTATGCAAATGTTGCCCTGTAAATGGCCAAGTGAAATAAAAAATTTAATTGTTTATGAACAAACGAAAGTGTAGGCTTTGCAAATAAAAGTGCTTTATAAATATCAAATAAGCTGAATAATGACAATTATGGCAAATTCAAGTAGAAACTAATTTTGCCACATCTGTTATTTTTAATATGACAGCTCTACTCTTTTTTTAAAAATTTATTTATTCCAATTAGTTATATATGACAGCACAACACATTTTGATTCATTGTACACAATTGCAGCACAACTTTTCATTTCTCTGGTTGTATACCATGTAGCATCACACCATATGTGCCATCACACATGGACCTAGAGTAATGATGTCCATTTCATTCCACCATCTTTCCAATCTTTACTTTTTGATGGGCACGTTTTCTGGAGTAAGCCTTTGTCACTTAGTGGAGTTCATGGTGATACTTGGACTTTGGCATTATTAGGAACAACTCTTGAAGCACTGCGTGGTAGTGTATTGAAGCTGGGGCCATTATGGAGACTGCTTTTAGAGATATGTGCAATTTTTCTTTTAGACGGTTTTATTATTTACTTTTGACCCTTTTGGAGACTGTTGACCTCATGATTTTTTGGTGGGTGAATGAATAAGTAGTTAAAATGATGACTAAAATCTAATAGCAGATTAAGATGTCTTTGGTGTCTACTAAAAATGAAATGATATTTTAAGTGCTTTACATTTAGTCCTTCAACAATCTTCTGAAACGGCTATTATTAGGAGCCTCATTTTATAACTGAGAAAACTGAGGCCTAGGGAGGTTTATAATTAGCTTAAACATACATAGCTGACAAGTAGCAGAGCTATGATTTTAACTCAGGAACTAGGTTTCAGAGTAGACTTTTCTAAGTAGTTTGTTCTACTGAAAAGAAACCAGGCTCTGTATAGCAGTTTTCTAGTCACACAGATGTAGCGAGTTAAAACATAAAATTTCTGTTGGTCAGAAATCTAGCATGAGTCTTCTTGTGTTAAAATCAAGTAGTTGGGCAGGGCTGTGTTCCTTTCCGGAGGGTCTAGGGGCAGTTTGTTTCCTTGCTCTTTCCAGCTACTGTAGGCTGCCATTAGCTTGGCTCCTGGCCCCCTTCCTCCAGGTTCAAAATCAGCAGTGGTTGTGGACATCTTTCTCACGCTGCATCTCTCTGACCTACTTTTTTGCTACCTCCTTTCTCTTCTAAGTATTTCTGGGATTAGATTGAGCACATGTGGGTAGTTCAGGTGAATTTCTCCAATTTAAGGTCTTTAACCTGATCACACCTGTGAAGTACCCTTTGCCATGACCTGCTCAAAGGCTCTGGGGTTTAGGACATGGGTCTCCTTGGGGAAACTTGTTATTTGACTTAATCGCACCCTATTCTGCTGATTTTCTGACTCAAGTTATTTTTACAAGTGAATGAGGGAAAACTTGACTTTCTTTAAATTATGTAATGAAATCTTTTCATGTAATTGAGGTTCTAGTCTTTGGAACTTTATCAATTAATTTGTATCACATTATTAAAGGGGATTGTATAAATGAGGAAGATGTAAATTTTGTAGATATTGCTTCAAATGTTACTAAGGACATTAAAAATCAGTGGAGTGAAGAAGTTTTCTATAAATAAAGGGAAGAAATTTTGTCTTATTCTTAATCATGAACAATAAGTCCTAAGAGTCTGCTTGTGGAGTGCTCTGCAAGTCAGCCTAGAAAGTAACAGCCATTTTCAGCAGGGAGTTTAATATGGGCTCTTAAAGCTCCCCTCTCATCTTGTGAAACAGTGGGATTGAGCATGTAATCCATTAAAATTGACACTTTGATAGAAGAAGTTGCAATAGGAAATCCCTGGGTAAAACGGATTTCCCATTGGGGTGCCATAAATTAAGGTTGGAGGTGATTCCTGAGAACTTTCAGGTTATTATTAATTGAGAGTTTTGATTGCTTGTGAATGAGTCGTCTTTCAGATGTCTTATTTAAAGGTAGAGTTGTGAGTGACTTTTCTGTGAGATTTTCTGTCATAGTTTAAAAGTGATAGTTTGCAAGATATATTTTATCATCCACACAACAGTTTTGTGAAGTAGCCAGGGCAGGTACTGTTGTCAGTACTATTATTATTTTTATACTTATCTATTAATTTTAAGTATATGATCATATATTCAAGGTATAAAAATGATATAGAATTTTGTATGGGTATGCATCATCTAATTAAAAAATAAAATGAAAAGTCAAGGCATAGATTGGCAGAAGCAAATAACACATTAACAAAAAATGATTAACATCCTTTTTGTTTACCAACTACATGTTAGTGAAGAAAAGAAATGGCATAATAAAGACCTGGGCAGGTAATGGGCAATTAACAGAAAAGTTCATGCTCATGGAAAGATTGGCATTGATTTGATGGAGATTAAATATCCAGAATATATAAAGAACATCTATAAACTAATAAAACAAGCGAAGAGAATAGACAAAATTATGAACGTGCATTTTGTTTTGTATGAAACCCCTACTAACTAAAGTAAGAAAAATTGTGCATACTCTAACTATTCAGACATTATTTTAAAAATCATTTTATAGATATGGAAACTGATTCCCAGGGAGATTTGAGGGACTGGTCTGGGGTCAACTAAGATAGTTGTTGTTTGAGCCTGGCCTCATGCTGTTTCCACTTCAAATATGTAAAGAATGCATTTTGAAAGACTTTCTCTTGTTGTTCTTATCAGTCACAGTATTTTGTAATTACAGGGAAACTATTGTTTAATTTATATGTAGTTATTCAGCCATCAGGTAGAAGGATGGGAAAATGTGGAGAAAAGCCAATAATTGTAGTAAAAATGTTGGTTTAAGCTTTTGGACTCCCAGTATGTCCTTTCATTTGGCAAACTGCCTTTGGAACATTTTGACTGAGCAATTACTCCCAGG